GCACCTTCAGGAGAGGAGGGGGACCCTGTACCCCAGTGAGAGTCAGCGACTTCAGGAGAGGAGGGGGAATCTGTACCCCAGTGAGAGTCAGCGACTTCAGGAGAGGAGGAGGACCCTGTACCCCAGTGAGAGTCAGCAATTTCAGAAGAGGAGATTAAATGGAGAGCCACTTTGAATTTGGAGAGGATTCCTGCTGCTTCATGTCTGTGCTGCTCAAAGGCTAGAATAGATGGAGCTGCATTTTTTCTGAGTTAAATTGCCGAGCCCTATCCTGGAATGAATGGGTGCTGGGCTCTGAGTGAGAGTGTCAGATTCCGAGGTGAGCATAGTCAGCCTGTTCAAGATCAGCCTCAGGCACCAGGCTTGAAGTTGTATCTCAGTTCATCCCCGAACCAAACAGTGCTTAAACTGAAAGTCGACGCAGAAAATTATTTTGTAGTCTAATCAGTGGGAATTGATTGCTGCATTGAGTCCAGCCATTTGTATTACTCTAAGAGGATAAAAGGAAATAATTGAGATGGACCTCAAACCTTATCAAGCAATTGTTATATAATTGCGAAGTTGTAATGGAGAACAGTAGTGTAAAGAGAGAGAGAAGCCAGGAGTTTTTTGTTGTTTTGTTTCATAAAACAAAGAAGGAGGAAAGTTTGCGTGTTGTCCTGGCTTTTACTGACACAGTGTGGAAGTTTGTTTAATGTGAGATGTAAATTAAGTTGTCCCTGGACAGGGGCCAAGTGAGTAGAATATTTACAGACACAATAGTGCCAGCCCAGAGAGAAATGAATTCAGATATTTTCAGCGGGTGGAGCCTGCCTTGCTGGGCTGGTGTTGGCACGCCAGTGACTTCTCTCCACTCGACACAGTCTTGCAGTGGAGCAGGAGCTCAGTGCTGAGAGCTTCAGTCCTGTCAGCAGTCAGGAGCAGGATTCCAAAGCAATTCGGCTTTAAAAAATATTTGATGCATTGTATTTGTTATTTTATTTCTGGGCAGTTGATAAAGTTTTCTCGCATCAGGTCCTACTCCCCTCCCATGAACAGGGGACGGGAAGGATGTTGTCTGCAGGTCCTGCACCTACATCAGAGCAAGAGGAAGGAGCTGATATCGACAATGTGAAGTGTATGTTGCAAGGTAAGAGCATCCAGCGAAGGTGACCGGCAGGGTGGGCAGGTATAATTTTGTCTCATGTGTTCCTGCATCAGAAATATGATGGACATGAACTAAGCAGCTGCTTCCTGATACCTGTTTTAGCACACCCATATTCCATTGCCTTTAACCTGCTGAGGACTCACAGCCATTCACACTCACACACCACTCTTCTACTTCCATGCATTTGTCATTAGTGTGGAGGACAGTGCTAGGGAAGGAAAATGGTGGAGTGCCGTGTGAGGAGAGGAGACAGGATGGGGCTGGTAGCTGAGGAAAGTAGGGAATGTGGAGGACTGAGTGTAAGGAAAGTGGGTGGAGAGAGACGAAAGCAAAACCTGCTGATTCAACCCTCCCCCACCCCTCTACATGTAGGAATTCCTGGTTGTGAAGAAAATCTTTCAAAGTTGCTCTGGCGAATATGGCGATTTTATGGCAAATTGTAGTAATGAAGCAAATGACTTGTGAGAATTGAGGGAGTATTGGGCAAGCAGAAAGCAGACAGTAGTGAATGAGCTGCCTGTTTTATTCCTTCCTTTCTCCAAATAAATCCTGAAGACATGACGAAATAAGCTGTCCTTTTTGCATCCTCTGCTCTTGGAGCTGTTTTGTCGGTTTTCTTTTTAATGCAAGCGGCTCTATATGGCACAGATTTTGTTTCTGTTTGTTCATGGGATGTGGGTGTCATGACTAGGCTGTCATTTATTGCCTGGCCCTAATTGCCCAGAGGTCATATAAGAATCAAACCTATTACTGTGAGTCACAGTGTGGCCAGACCAAGTAAGGATGGCAGATTGACTTCTCTAAAGGGTGTTTATAAACCAGATGGGTTTTTATGACAATCAGCTTTGGTTACATGGCTGTCATTAGACTGGCTTTTAATTTCTCATGTATTTAAAAATACAGTGAAAAGAGTCTTTTCATGTGTTGTGCACAAAGTCTCGCCATGCTCCAGCACCATCTTGAAACACTGAATATGATGCAAGATTTTACTGCAATAGAGTTCATTTTTCCCTCTTCTTCTTGCTCCTCCTCTGTTGCTCCTCCAGTCACTGCTTGACATCGGCCTGAGTTTCTGAACCTCTCTCCTGGGTCTCTGTAACGGGCCTAAGGATCTCGGTTATAGGCATCCACTGCCTCCACAATCGCAAACACCACTGTGTCCGAGCTGGAGCCATGGACCTGGGGATACACAGGTTCCGAGCATCCTGTTCGCCAAGCGATGTTCTTCCTGGTCACTGCTGCCAGTCATCAGCCGTTGGGGTCCTCCTCTGTCCCTTTCGCCAACACTTCCACTCCTTCAGGACCCCGGGCCTAGCTGCAGACCTGGAGCCTTGGCTCCACGTCCAAGCCAGGGGACTCTGTTCCTCGCTCGCAGGAAGATTCTGGGCTGCGGTGGTGCTGTGTCCGGCTCATTCTGGCATTGGTGCTGCTGCCCAGATGCCTCCTCCTTCACCCACTATTAGCCAGGCTTTAAAGAGAAAAGGGAAAAGGGAAGAAAAAGAGCCAAAGTAAAAAGGAGAAAAAACAAAGAGAAAAAAAGCAGATGGGAGTGGATGAGCCCTGTGCCATCTTGGCATTGCATCCACTGCCTGTACTGCATGAGCATGCCCGAGACTGTAGGAGAGATACAGATGCTATACTTGGTCTTAGAATGTCCTGAGACAGGAAAGAGAAAAATGTGTCAGAGTTCTTGCTTTCAATCATTGCCCAATGGTCTCTTAGAACAAGGGAGTCGATGGCAGGTGGAAAGCAGTGTTCACATTTCTATGGTTGTTTTCCTAGAGATGGCCCAGAGCCTATGAGTACCTTTGAAATATTGTCACTGATTTGACATAGTGTTTATACTCATTCTACTAGCTGGTCCTACACTCCTCAGAGGAGAACATGCAGGGGCTGGTGTTCCAATGTATCTGCTGCCCTTGTCCTTCTAGATATTAGGTTTTGCAATAAGGTGCGGATTTGTAAGGTGCTGTCAAAGGAGCCTTGGTGAGTAGTTGCACTGCAGCTTATAGACAGTACACGATGCAGCTACTGTGCATGAGTGGTGAAAAGAGTGAATGTTGAATATGGTGGATAAGGTACCAGTGAAGCGGCTGCTTTGTCCTGGATGGTGTCAAGTTTCTTGAGTGTTGTTGGGGCAGCACCCATCCAGGCAAATGGGGAGTATTCCATCACATTCCTGACTTGTGCCTTGTAGATTGTGGACAGGCTATGAGGAGCCAGGGTGTTGATTACACACTGAAATAAAATAAAGAATTGCACATGGCGGAGATCGAAACAAAAACAGAAATTTCTGGAGAAACTCAGCAGGTCTGGCAGCATCTGTGGCTAGAAAGCAGAGTTGATGTTTTGAGTCTGGTGACTGTTCATCAGAACAGGTTACACACTGCAGGATTCTGAGTGTCTGAGCCATTCTTGCAGCCAAAATCTTTACACAGTTGGTCCAGTTAAACTTTGGTCGTCTGCTCTGGTGGTTCAGTGTTAAATCTTGTTTGTAATGCTCCTGTGAAGTGCCTTGGGCTCTTTTATTACAATAAAGTAGTTACAAATGCAACCTTGTGCAGAGTATCGGCATGTTTACATCTGTGCCTGTCTCTGCATGTGTGTGCAAGTGTGTGTGTGTGTGCGTGTGCATGTGTGTGTATGCACACATGTGTGTCTGTGTGCCTGTGTGTGTGTGTGTGTCTGTGTGTGTGTGTGTGTCTGTGTGTGTCTCTGTGTGTGTGCACGCGTACGCGTGTGCATGCGTGTGTCTGTGTCTGTGTGTGTGTGTCAGTGTGTGTCTGTGTGTGTGTGTGTGTGTGTCAGTGTGTGTCTGTGTGTATGTGTGTGTGTGTGTGTTTCAGTGTGTGTGAGAGAGAGGCAGAGCAAGCCAGAGAGATTTTATGGCTTTCACCTCAGTGTGTGTAAGTATGTCAGGGCATCTGTGAGTATATATCTGAGTCTGTTGATGTGAATAGCAGTGGGGACAGTATTCAGCTTTGGCTGTCTATGATACCCTCATGGTCAAGCAGCCTGCTAAAACTCGGTGAGGGTGTGGGGAATAGAGCGGGTGGTGGTCAGTGAGAGAGGTGAGTACAAGGGAAATGTTGTGCATAGGGCCTAGTCCTCTCTACAGCTAGCATTGACCCTCACCAGTTCTGAGAGGGAAGTGTAGTGGTTGGAACGAGGCCAGCCAGCTGGACTTCATAGAATATGAGTTCCCTGATTGGGGCTATTAATCTGGTCCAATCAGGGAGCCCTGGCTGTCAGATAAAATGAGACTCTGGTGCTGTGATAACTGACTCTGAAGGGTAATACTAAAGTGAAACAAGTTCATGTGTAAATAAAGAGTGACTTGATGATGGGATACCAGCCCCCGTGGAGTTGTTTCAGTGACGATGAGAGTAAAGTATGTTCCTGAAGAAACTCGCTCGCAACAGTCTTTGAGTTGGGGGTAAACATTTTCACCATCATGCCTTTGTTTGGATGGCTTGACACGTTTGACCCTGCTGCCGAAGACCAAGCCCAGTAAGTGGGAAGAAAGTATTACTTCTTTCCAGGCAAATGACATTGTGTTGGACAAAAGGCAACAGTGATTCTCCAGATAGCCCATGGAGCTGCAGCTTTTTCTCTTATTAGGAGCCTAACTTTCCCCAAGGAACCAAATACCAAAACCTTTCAAGAATTGATGAACATAATTGTGGAGTATTACGACCCCAAGCCTCCTCTAATTCTCAGACGCTATTGGTTTTACTTGGCAATTTGAGAACCAGGGGAATCTGTATCAGGATTTTTGACAAGGTTAAGAGGAGTGGCAGAAGCTTGTGACTTTGGTTTAACTCTTAATGAGATGCTTAGAGACTATTTGGAATGTGAAAGTAATGGTGTAACTATGCAAAAGTGCCTACTAGCTGAAGTCCAACTGGACTACAAACAGACACGAGAGTCATAGAGTCATATAGCATGGAAACAGACAGTTCGGTCCAGCCAGTCCACGCTGAACATAATCCCAAACTAAATTAGTCCCACCTGTCTGTTCCTGGCCCACATGCCTCCAAATCTTTCCTATTCATGTGTCCATCCAAATGTCTTTTAAAGTTGTTATTATACCCACTTCCACTGCTTCCTCAGAAAGTTCATTCCACATGCAAACTCCACTCTGTGAAAAATTATGTATCTCATCTCTTTTTTAAAGATCTCCCACCTTAATAATGTGTCCCCAGTCTTAAAATGCCCTATCCTAGAGAAAAGACAGCTACCATTAATTCTATCTATACCTGTCATTATTTTATAAATTTCTATCACATCGCCTCTCAACCTCATACACCCCAGTGAAAAAAGTCCCAGCCTATCCAGCCTTTCTTTATAACTCAAACCTTCCATACCCAGCAACATCCTGGTAAATCTCTTCTGAACCCACTCCAGCTTGATAATATCCTTCTTACAACTGGACGACCAGAACTGGACACAGTATCCCAGAAGACACCTCACTAATGTACTGTACAACCTCAACATAACGTCCCAACTCCTATACTCAAAGGACTGAACAATGAAGGCAATCGTGCCCAACACCTTTTTAACCACTCTGTCTATATGTGACGCAAACTTTAAAGAATTATGTACCTGCACCCCTCGGTCCCTCTGTTTGAGAACACTATTCAAGGCTTGTTTGTTGCACCAAACTGCAATATCTTGAATTTATCAAGATTGAACTCCATCTGCCATTTTTCAGCCCATTGACCCATTTGATCAAGATCCCTTTGTAATCTGAGAAAGCCTTCTTTACTATGCACCAATTTTGGTGTCGTCCACAAACTTACTAACCTTGCCTTCTAGAACTTTAAAAGTAGTAATTTCTGGTTTACTCCCAATGCCAAACTCAGAAAGGTTAAAGGAGATAAATCAATGGCTGAAGAGCTGGTGTATTGTTTGGGGATTCAGGTTTTTGGACAATTGGAATGTCTTTTGGGGCAGAAAAGACCAGTTCAGAAAGGATGGGT